TAATTTTACCCAATTGGCTGACAGATTAACTCTCATATGTCATGCTAAAAACCAATATTTAAATAGCTGTTCTGTCAATACCTGGAAGACTTCCTGTGCATGAAATCAACGATACTGTAATCCAAGGGATAAGAAATGGTTGACCACAGATTGAAGATATTTCTAATTCAATCACTATACCCCCGCAACACACACCCCAAAATAAACAGGAAATAGTACCCCTCAAAATCTCACCATGTCAGCTCGAAGATCACCATGTCTTGACAAACTGGCTCCATATTAGATCACCTTTCACACAGATAAAGGGGAGGAAATGTTTTGTTTACACTTAAATTATATGTTTTCTTTCAAAAATCTAGATCACACTCTGATGGGTGTATTTAAACAAATTGTGTGTCTCTTTACACATCCCTAACAAAGAGAGAAAAGAACCTACATGTACCTGTGAAAGATTTTTCTTCATATAATGCTTTTATGTGACCACAAAAGAAAACAAAATCTTAAAAATCAGATAATTATCGCTTTTTCTATCATAAGTGGGGCTGACATTTTGTTGGTTTGGTATTGATTTGCAGGTGCTTGTTTTATCACTAATAAATAGCAGTATAAAAAGTCCATTGCTGTGGGCAGTTTATTGAGTGGTCCACCTAGAGTTGTGAATCAATTAAGGTGATTTGTGTATCATATTCAGGCACCTGCCCTGTTTATATTGAATTAATGTCCAGCATTCATCACACACCATTAAGTGGCGATAAAAATTACAGAGCCCCCAATCAATATGATATTAATATTTTATTGTAATAATTCTGAAAGCAAAAACCCATATCTTACAAAACTCAGAGGCCAATAATATCAGTAGGTGATACATACAAGTAACATAGACTATACATTGTGATCAACTGATTTAAAACCATTCTAACAAAACAAATGAATGCAGAAAAAATCAAATATATACAGCAAATAATTCAATAATTATTAACTTACTTGAAATATTTTCTGCCTCTCATTCTTAATCTTTTTGTAAATAAACATTTCACCTTAGTAAAGATCTTATATACTATGTGTATTTTAAGATATTATCCAATCTTATTTTTACTGACCAAAAAAGTGCAAAATAACATTGTTTATTAGCATAATCAAGTCATCTTACCAAAATAGATTTAAAAACAATCTCCTCTGCTCTCTCACATTTCCTTTCATTTTAAACAACACCAATTTTAACATTTAGAACATCACATCATTTTCCTAAATAGGACACAATGTGTACACCTGGAAATACCTTGACATAGATAAAATAAGAACAGCTGATTTAATCTGAAATCTTCTAAATATAGAAAAAAAAATCTCCCTCACCTGAAGTATTCTTGAAGACAAACGTCACAAAATCTGTGTCCACACGACGAAATGATGACGGGGTCCTTCATCGGAAGCTGACAGAGGGGACAGAAGCACCTGTGGGGGTCAAGGCGCGTGAGGAACGTGCAGTCGTGACCAGGCATCCCGACAGACTAGCAAAGCGAAAGTAACCACGAGAATCACCAACGACGCGGGAGAATGATAACTTTTTATTGTGGCATTATGTAAAGTATGAACTGGTTATCACGGATGGTTTGGAGAAGACATTAAATAGTACCGATCTTTCTTTACATATTATTCAGTCAAAACAGTCCCACCTGGAAATGCATGATAAACTAAAGAAAATCAAGAACATAAGAAAATTGATCTGTTAAGAGTTTGTTTGAACTATCCACGGTCAGACCGAATTACATAGATGTTTGAATCTGAATGGTAAAATCTCCCCAAGGGTGTTGTGATACAAATTACCTTGAAACCATTTATCAAGTTTGCATCTTAAGATTAAGCAATCTTTATCAGAACACACATTCACACCATGTTCACAATTCCAGCAAAAAAGAATTTATTCCCCTGCAGGTCATAAGTCCCGATAACATAGATGTAATTTATTTTTCTTCAAAGTAGGCCGACATGACTAAATAAACCTGTTCACTTCAAGAGACTTAATTTGTTGTGAATCAATGGATTGTAAGAATTCTTCCTATGTTCAAAGACCAAACTGTACGATTTCTTAACTTTTTTATTACAAAAAATCATTGTGAATAATTGAAAGAATAAATTGAATACTAAGCCCATGTACAATTACCAAACTGTATAAGATTTTCTAACTACATGTATTTTATAACAAAGACTTGATTTGTTGTGGATGATTAAAAGGGTTTTTGAAAATATGTCGTACTCATGATAAACTGATCTAACTGCGCATGAAAACGAATTTCTCAGTTACGTAATCTGTGTAATTTATTTGCGAGAATCTAAAGTAATATACAAAATATTAATAAATTTTTAACTAGGAGAAAGGGTATCTAAACTAATCCAAAACCATATCCTTTTAATGCATGTGCTAACTTTCTAAGGAAATTGTTCTTCCTTCTAATATTATTCATAATTTTTTTATGCTGTTTCAATACTGCAATAAGACATGTTATGTTATCATATGTTCAAAAGTATGGTTCTGTAAGTCGCTGAGATGGTGGGCTCGGAGAGATTCTCAACTTTATGTATGAATGAAATAATTTTAAGATACTAGTATACTATATCCGAAAATTACTTAAACTCGGTTAAAAAGAGACAAAAAATCTTCCATGATTCCCGTGGGATTATTAGTAATTATCTTGACTGCACTGCAGAAGATCTCGGGGGTATTATTAATCAGTCACATTCAAAATAATCAACATCCTCGTCTGCAAATAATATTTATTCTGAATTTTTAATACATAATTCATTACTGCTTCAATTATTCAATAATCAACATTCGCCTATAATTCCTTTTTAAAATTTATTATTCATTCTTTCAACATTCATATTTTTTCTTGATATACAATGACAGTGAAATAAAAGTAACCTCTGATTTTTGGTCTCCTTTAGACCCCCTATCAGGCATTGCCTTCGACATAGGAGAACCACGGGAATCCAAGTGCAGAAGAATCCGAAAATGTGAAAAGTTTACAGAGGGAAGGATAGACAGACGGATTACAGACAAAATGTGATCAGAAAAACTCACTTGAGCTTACAGCTCAGGTGAGCTAATAAATGTATACCCACTGCATTGTATCTAGTTCATAATGGAGGATGTCTTCCTCATTTTCTCATTGAATAGGATACACTTTAAATGAAGATGCATGTATGATTTGAATTATTTTTTAATATATATGATTGTCTTTAGGAAACTTTATCCCGTTGAAAACCCTGGCGGCTGCCCATTGACTTACAAGGAGGTGGTTTATTATGTGTTGCTTGATTAAGTCTTCCAGAATTATCTTTCTTGTCTAAGTTTCAGTGTCACTTCTTTTACCGTATGTTTTTACGTTTATGACAGTAGAACATAAATAAGACCATAATTTAGGAACCAAGACTCTCGTATGATTGTTTAGAATATTTTTTATAAAACAGTATACATTGCGATTTTCCCATTTCCATATTCAAATACTGACATTCTTAAAGAGTACTTTTTCAAAAGTTTTCATGAACACATTATATAAAATATTGCATGTAGTTGAGTGTAACATTGAAAATTTTCACCCCAAGAAAACCATTGTCAACCTCGGCTGCGCCTCGGTTGACAATGGTTTTCTTGGGGTGAAAATTTTCAATGTTACACTCAACTACATGCAATATTTATTATATTATACTGAATGTTTTATACAAATACATATTACAGTGAACCGTGTGCGCATAGATTCCGCGCAGTCGCTATTTTTTGGAATACCACCCGTCGTCAAGCAATGTTGACTGTTGCTACGCAGGAGGGCGTCGTTTCATTATTCAGCGGGTAGTAGTGTTTTTTATCAAATGTTTCTCGATGAATCAGATTCAAGTAATTTAAATGAAAGTATAGTATAAATTAATATTCTCTTCCAGATACAGGGCTGACACGGCTATTGATAAAAAAAATATACCAATTCAGTATATTCAATTGCAAGTCACACGCAGCCATTTCTATTTTACTTTTTTTTTTTTTAAATATAAATTTTTCGCTTGCACATATATTCTTTTGGTTTTTTTTTTTATAAATTCAAAATATATTTCCAAAATGTTTATTGTAAGAAGTTAACAATATTTCCAATTTTAAGTATTTTATAAAACATTGTTTAATCTACATGCTAATAAACTTATTAGTATTCATTGATCAATTCTTTTTAAAAGATATCTTTCAATTATTATTATCATTTAACGTTTCAAGGACTTCTTTTTATTTCACAATACTGAGTTGTCTTTCCTATAATATAAAAGAATATTCATGCGTCGACACGATATACTCGTATCCCAGTTAGCTTGAAATAAAAGACACGGAAGAGTTTGACACATAGAGAACACATCTGTTTTGTATTTGTATATTTTACAAGAATAAAATCCATAACGGTTATCTAACAATATGCTTTATGATTAACAGGATGAGTAACGGAGAAAACATAGTTTGCCTCTGCCTTTTTTCTGATATTGTAATGACAGCATGATTCTTGGGAGGAGGTACTCCAATTATTTGAAATAGACATGGTCGGATACAGGATTTGTGATTAGGGAGGGGGCATGGATAACTTTGTTCAGGCAGGGAGTCTGGGGGCCACCATAAGGCCCCCTGTGGGTCCAGGGCGAAGCCCTGGTGGGGGCCCATGGGGCGAAGCCCCATGAGGCTCCTGGGTTTTCGTGTATTTGAAGAGTTAATAGTGGTATTGGTTAGTTATGTACCAAAATATGGCATTATTAATATTAGTCATATCATACTTGGAAAATTTTAAATCCGCCAGTGATAGATACCTTTTGATATTGATTATATATGGGTTTGAAAACTATTATTTCACCTGGCCTTATTTCCAAAAATAAGGCATAATTTTACACTCTTGTTGTATCACGTGATGTGATATGTATTGTGACGTCATAATTACTCTGACGTCACAAAGGTTGTTTCCATTATCGACAGACATATTTAGCCTTTGCTCTTTATATTGATTTGTCAATTTCTAAGAGTTAAAAATGGCTTACTTTGTCTTCAACTGGAACAAGAGAGATTACATCACCACAGTTCTGTCACTGATTCTACTGGTACTTACAGTCAAGCATCAAGAGTTCTTCTTATGGTAAGTTAAACAAGTCAAAATCAGGAAAGCTTCAAAGAAAAAAATCACAAGTCAAGGGTTTTCAGTCCGCTTCTCTTGCAGAGAGTGAAATGGATCGAAAACCATTGACTTACGGAGATACTTAAATAAATAAATTTTTTTTGAAAAAAGAAATTATCATTGATAGTTTTCAAGTTATGGACCTAAGCTTGTCGAATTTATTCAGTTTATGTACAGGATACCAAAAGGAGGGATGGAATAGGGAATGTTGACAAGCTAACATTATGGCAACAATTAAGACCTCCTCTCCCTCCGCATCAAGAGCTATTTTATATGTACATGCATATGTAAACGCCTATAAAATATATATTTTTGCAGCAACAAAATTTATATGTAATGTAACATATTTAGAAATAACACAATTGTTTTATTTATTGGTATACTAATGATTTACAGCAGGGAAGTATCCCTTAACAGAATTGAGAAGTTTGGTTTGTGGTTAGGCGTGTTAGAGGAACCCAAACCTTGTCCAGGGATAGAAGATCTCCACACCGTGAGTTAAATTAATATATAATCTTACTAGTTACTACAATTTTACATGTATACAGGCACGTAGCATCGTTTTTGAAAGTGGGGGGGGGGGGGGCAACCTGAGAAAACTTTTTTTTTTACTTACCTAAAAAAAAGTTGACAAGCAAAAAAGAAAAAAAAAACCCAGGAAAATTAGAAATTGCCCAAACTCGAAAATCCTATTTCTTGGGGGGGGGGGGGGGGGGGTGGCCAACTTTTCTCAAGGCCAGCTTCCTTTAACTTAAAATTTTTTCCTATATTTCCTTGCTATAAATGTACAGTGGTGAAAAGTGGGGGGGGGGGGGCAACCATCTCTTCAATGGACGTATTCTATAGTAAAGGTAATGTTCGTGAAAAAAGTGGGGGCAGCCCCCCCCGGTTCCTACGTGCCTGGTATATAACTTAATTTTTTGAGGGTCTGAGTAAATTTTCTTTTTTCAATCCTCATTTAACATAAATACTAATTGAAATACAAGATACTTCACATAAATATTTTTTTTTCTGAGATAGATGGCTATGGAGATGGGGATATCGACTTTAGCTGTTTTGGCCTCCACTGTAGCACCAAAGGTGATGACTTGGACCAAATCTGTGATTTGTCAAGCTGTGCAGGGAATGAAGAATGGCATCTGGTATATAAAGGGTATGAAGTATTTTATATTACAATATAACCATAATATTTTTTAGACACGTTGTTATGTTTTACTGTAATGGAATATCTATTTTATATAGATCGCATATTTCCTCGAAAACCTGAACATAATGTAACTCCGCAGAAATCAGGGCCCAGGCTACCCCCAGAAACATTTCTCCCCAAAACAACTACACCCAAAGCCCTCGGAGAGGACCGCCCGGAATACAAGTATTATTTGTAAGTCTGTTTTTTTTAACTTGTACAATGATACATGTACATATGAACCAAAATACTAATTCATTCAAAACCGAACCTGGCCACTGTTTATAAGCATTAAAAAAGAATTTTACATATTAATTATATAAAGATATAGGCATATTTTATATAAAAAAAATTTAAGTCAAAATTTCTTAATTCTTAACTTTAAATGCTACATAAATAAAGGATTGTATTATTTATAAGTAAAGAATTGCACTATTTATAGCTTCCGCAAAGCTTACGAGATGAAGAGGATTATACTGTTCATAAAGAAGGGAGATCGATGCGAGGAGGTTTTTGCCTACAGTCCCAGGACCAAGAAATTCGTGCTGAAATCCTTCTACCCAAAGCAGCCTTGTTATTGAGATTGATGTAAAAGGATACCCAGAACATGTGCATCCATCGTCATTACAGGAACCTTATGATAACAAACCGAAATTTCCCCCAAAATTGTGATATCTTTTTTACATCTTTTCTGCAAAGTTATTTAAATTCTATGTTAAATAGCTTGAAAATTCATTATTTTTTGGTAAATTAGATGTCTTTAAATTCCATAAAGCAACATTTTGATTCTGCACAAAATAAGAGGTATGACGGTTTTACATGCATATGTTCATTTGGTTTAAACAAAAATTACCGCTGAAAACCCTTTACCATTGATTGATTATACGAACCGATAAAAAAAAGTTGCATGATAAATATTCAAAAGTTCCTTTAGTTCAACAGTATGATAATGTTGTTCAAATATATAGACCCCATCTCAGAGGTACTTCCGTTGTCCGATACCCACGTTGCCCTATACGCACTGTGTCCTCTCTGCCAATGAGGTAGAGGAGAATTTATATTTCCTGTGAAAGACTGTACCGCGATGTCACAGTTAGCCTATCAGGCCACCAAGTATCAGAATTAGTTTTCGAAACTCTATAGTGAGAAGATGAAAAACGTTTATGCTGTGACTATGTGTACCCAAGAATTCTCCCGGCTAGAGTTGCACTGTCTACAGATTTACTAGCATAAAGTAACCAATGCGTTTTTAAAACCAGTAACATTTCTCTCAGTAGCTCCGAAGGAAATAACTAGTCAAACCTTGAAGGGGACATTTGTCCGAAATTTTCAAAACTTAGACATTTCTTTCCTTGCCGCATGCTTTAATTTTTTAGACATTTTTTGTTCATAAATAAACAGTCCTTTGAATATTTCTTAAAGCAATTGTTAATTGAAGTCCTCATACATATCATATCCCAAGGAAACCGCCATACCTCTTTTATATAATTATGTTAAATTCAGAATGTTTCTTATTCGTTATGCAATAAAATAATGCAAGAATTAAACAAATGTGTTGTTTTAAAGCAATAAAAACTTCATTTGATTCAATGTTATGAAATAGAAAAGTGAAAGAATTACATGAATATTTTACAGATTGTTGTATTGTATCAACATTTTCAAATGCCTGGTATCTTAATAAAAAATGTTTCTGAAACACTAATGCCCCCGTATGGCAACTTATTGCAAAGGTTAAATCTTCTCAAATGCAAATCAAATACATTTAATATATTGGTACCCAAAGTAAGGACCTGGTCTTCTTACAAGAAATGAAATAAAACTTGTCAAGTAAAAAAATCCTTAGCACCACCTGTTCAATAGTTATAGACATGGTTAAAGTTTTTGTAAAGGTAGGTAAAACTCCAAGGTCAAAAGGTTAAAGTTTTTGGTATCTAAAGGAAGAACTTGACACACGATTACATATGTTAATATTATGAGAGCCCTAGCAATTACCGTTCAAAAGAAATCTTCAATAAAAAGGTTAAAGTTTTTAAAGTAGGCAAAACTCCAAGGTCAAAGGGCCAAAATTGCTGATATCCAATAGAACGTCTTGTCAGAAGGATTACATATGCTATGTATGAAAGTACTAGCCCCAGTCATTCAAAAGTTATGACCAAATTTAAAATTTTTGAAAGTAGGTAAAACTCCAAGGTCAAAGGGTCAAAGTTGTTGGTAACCAATAAAACGTCTTGTCACAAAGATTACATATGTGAAGTATGATAACATTCTCATACCCCTAGTGCCCTAGCACTAACTGTTTGAAAGTTATGGCCAAGGTTAAAGTTATGTACAAAAAAAAGGGCAAACTCTGGGTCAAACTCCAAGGTCAAAGGGTCAATTTCATCGTATCCAAAGAAAAGTCTTGTCACAAGGAATACACATATTAAATATGAAAGCCATGGCCTCAACCAATCAAAAGTTATTTGAAAGGTTAAAGTTTTTGCGGACAGAGGACAACCAGACCAACAGATTAACATATAAAGAGACAGACAGACGGACGAACATGGCAAAAATTTTATACCCTGAATCTTCGATTACGGGAGCATAAAAATACAGGCAATTAAAATCCACCTTTATTACTGAATCGACCCTTAAATACAAAATCTAGATCCATGATTTTTGCATTCATGCATAGGGAAATGTGTATACTGAATAAGTGTCTATTGTTTTGTGTGTACACGATTTTCCTCAAAGTCTAAGGTATTGCACTCCAGTATTATAAGGTCGATATTAGCTTTTAATTTTACATATTCTATTAGATCATTCATGAACAACAACAATTAAGCTCTAAAGTATCTTATATATGCAAATTAAACTTTATTTTTCTTTTCCCCTGATTAAATGCAAAAATATGTGTATAAAACTGGAGGTACTGTGAGCTCACTAAAGGATAACCCCCGCCTCCCATAGGGTTATAATGTCAAGTCCATCTTTTGATCTGGGAAACCCAAAATAATTGACATATCAAAACTTGAAATTAAAGGTGCACAATGGCATTATGTAACAAAGAATCTTTGAAAGTATTAAATTTTATTCAGTGGTATAGGAGGAGTTGCATATAAGAGATGGGTACCCCCATTACTATAGAAAGTGTGGTCGTGTCCGTGTCTTGCTCTGGGAAACCCAAACTATGTGTCCACAATGGCAATATGAAATAAAGAATCTGTAAGAGTATCAGTGGTATAGGAAGAGTTGCGGATAAGAGATGGAATTTATGTTCATTTAATGCAAGGGAAATCTTTAGTCAGGAGAAGATAAGTACTGATCATCAGTCAGTATATTAGAAGCAGCAAGGAGAAAAACCTACTGCTATTTATTTGATCACAGAACATGTTGTTTTTAAATAACTCATTATATTCGAGACTCTAGTTTTTTCCCATAGGTTTTGTAAGTTCACAGACCTTATCATATCTTGGTACCCAAAAAATCTTTCGTTTTCCAAAGAAGTTTCCAGGTCATCAGATAAATTTTTTGTTCGATTTTTTTTTATCAAATTAACAGAAGTGAAATGAGGTTAGATATGAAAGCAATCACAAAAAGAGCCTAAATCCAAGTGTTTTGGAACCTTGCGCAGGCGATACTACAAATTTTGGATTTTCCATTATTTTGACGGTGAATTGCTTTGTCATCGTGTGAACTATTCAAGTGCATGTAAAATGAATAGCATATGCTCATGGTGCCAGGGGGTTTAAAAATATGTCAAAAGAAACAAAACAAAAAAAATAAATAAATAAAAAGAAGATCTACTTGTTTCCCTGATGATAACACCTATTTCGGTTTCATAAGCATATATTGACTGACTGACCGACTCTTATAAAGGTTAAGTAAACCTTCCGCGTCGTAAAATGTTACTTTTTTATTCAGTAGGGGTTAGAAATGATGTATTTTGTTTATAAACAGTGATACATTTAAATGTTGCAATTTAAGTTTAAACAACAGAAACAATACACAGAAAATTCTATAAAGACCTGGCTTGAGCCTGGGATATATAACCTTTAAACAGAACTATGACCATCAAGAAAATGTATGCAAGAGAAATCTTTTCATGAAATTTATTGAGAAATTTCATTCTTAATTGTTTCCTTTTTAATCATTTATGAAGGCATCCATAGGTAAGAACTGACAACAAATACATGTTCTTTCTTTTCACATTTGTAATTGAGAATATAATTTGTAAACGTGAAATAAGTTGTTTACTATTCATTTATAAAAATTCTTCAAAAGATGAACTAAGGACGTTTAAAAAAATAATACTGCGCTTGAATAAATAAGCAGGGACTTTCCTTGAGAGACATACAGTGCATTTAAATTGAATATAGCAAGACACGTGCATAGATTTACCTGCATGATTTATGGCAGAATGTTAATAATTTTAGATTTATTGTTGCGTTTCACAGTTGAAGTGATTTGCTAGGTACTTTTACACATAACATATCTCAAAAGATAAAAATACTTCACACATGTTTTTCTCAGCCAAGTATATAATGATTCTGAAAGTTTCAAAAAAGCAGATAACAAATGAAGTATATGCAGATAATGAACAGTATTCAAGCCAAAAATCCATTAGACAATACAAAATAGGAGCAAAGCAAACCCGGACCTCCAAAATATAGAGGTGTGAGGAGTGAGAATCCCCTGACGACCGGTCACACCGCGGTGTGCTCCTTGTCATGATCGGAAACAAACGGAAAAATCCTTCTTCAACTCAGTGTATAAATAACGGACCAACAATTGGTATGAAAAACGTCAGTCAGCAATTTAACTCAATGATAAATTGTTTTTGCTGACAAGGTCATTGTATCGTCCACAGAACATACGAAATGATGATTTTGAACGAGACTGCTGATATTCTTGATATCAACTTGTTTGTCAATAATTTACATCATTTTAGAAATAGTACATACATGTACGTCGAGCATGCTCCTGCGTATCGAATCAAATGAGAGAGAGAGAACTCCATATGCAGGCAATGAAAGAGTATTTCTGCATAAGTAAGGGAAGTTGACAATTGAAAAGTTAAAGTCATCACGTGTATAAGGATATGGAAATAACGAACAGTATTCAATCTCAACGTCCATTAAACAAATATACAAAATAAGAGCAGAGCAAACACGGACCTCCGAAACATCAGAGGTGGGATCAGGTGCCATGGAGGAGTGAGCATCCCCTGCTGACCGGTCACACCCGCCGTGTGCTCGTTGTCATAATCAGAATATAACGGAAAAAATCCGTGGTCAATTCAGTGTATAAATAATGGACTAACAATTGGTATGAAAAACGTCAGTCAGCATTTCATTCAATGATAAATTGTATTTGCTGACAAGGTCATTGTATCGACCATAGAATTTACGAAATGATGACTTTAAACGAGATTGTTGATATTCTTGTTTCATCAACTTGCTTGTCAATAATTTACCTCGTTTAAGAAATTGTTCATACGTAGAGCATGCTCTTGCGTATCGAATCAACTGAGATATAAATACTCCGTATGCAGGTGATGAAGGTATATTGCTGCGTATATTGCTGCATAAGTAAGGGAAGTAGGTTGGTTGTTTGATTACTATTGACGTTTTTTTCAATTAAAATATCCATATATGAATCAGATGCGTCTGAGTGACTCAGATGACCTAAATAGGCCTGCTAATAACGGGACGCAATTGGTACCCATTGGTATTCTGTACAATACATTGTTGGAAGACCTGGTCTCCAAAAAAACCAAAGATATTGTCAATCAGAAACTCAAGCATCTTTTTGATTTTAACTTCAGAGTACTTGTGTGTACAATCAGAATGTTTTTAACAAAATAATTTTTTGAAAATGATCAATGACTTGAAGGAGTGAAGTAATTTTACAAGTTCCATTTTTATTGAAAAGCAGCTATCAATGATATCGAAAAACCACCTGAACTGATATTCATCGTAGGGAATGGTTGTGTATAAAGTTGAAAAGTCGTAAGTTTTTAAGCTGTTAAATTTGGTAAGATCTTGTGATTTCAAATTGTCCAAAGTTCCTTGGAATTTTTAAGTATCCACATCTGATTTACACCGCTTCTCGAATATATTGTTGCACAGTAATCTTGAAGTTTCTCCTTACTACTGTTAATATCTTAGTGATGAGTAAAGAAAGGGGCTTGGTTGAACATTTACTGGAAAATTAATAATTGAAAAAAAGCTTGTTAGTTTTAGCACAGCATGGAATGAAATACTAGTATATGGGGATATCGAACAGTATACATGCTCAAAAGTCCATATTAAAACAATACAAATTTTGGAGCAGAGCAAACACGGACCTCTAAAAGGCAAAGGTGAGATCAGGTATAACGGAGAAGTGAGCATCCCCTGCCAACTGGTCAAACCCGTCATGTGCTCCTTGTCATGATCGAGGAAAACGAGAAAATATCTATTATTCTGAAAAAACGTCAGTCAGCATTTGACGTAATGATAAATTTACCACTGTGTGTACCTACAGTATATGATTATAGTAGAAAAGTAGAAACAAAAAGGAAAATTGGTGATGAAAAAGATTAATTCATTCTGTTTGTCAGATTATTTGTTTGTGAGTTCGTCCTAATGTTTTTTTTAGATGAAAAATACGGAGATTGCGAACAGTATTCAAGCTCAAAAGTCCATTAAACAATACAAAATAGGAGCAGAGCAAAAACGAACCTCCGAAATGTCAGGGAAGGTCTGTCATGAAGGAGTGAGCATCCCCTGTCGAGCGGTCACACCCGCTGTGTGCTCCTTGTCATGATCGGGAAATAACGAAAATCCGTCGTTCATTCGGTGTGTAAATAATGGACTAACAATTAGTATGAAAAACGTCAGTGAGCATTTGACTCAGTGATAAATTATATCGTCCATAGAAGTTGAGAAATGATGTCTTTAATCGAGACTGCTGATATTCTTGTTTTATCAAATTGTTTGTCAATAATTTACCTTCGTTTTAGAAATTTTACATACATGTACGTTGAGCATGCTCTTGCATATCGAATCAACTGAGAAATATTAAGTCTGTATGCAGATAATGAAAGTATATTGTTGTATAAGCAAGCGAAGTTACCAGAGTGCTTTTGCATAAAACAAGAATGATTTTTAGCAAAGAAATTTTGTATTATGAGTGATCATAATTTTCAAACTAGAGTGTTCCAAGGAATGCATGTGTAGCCTTGTCATGATTTAGCTTCTTAAAAAGATGTCATCAAATTTAAGAGTGGTCAGCTATTTATATGCTTATAGCATATACAGTATTTCATGCAAAAAATCAAGCATGGCAGTTCAGAAATGCACAAAAAACATCCACACATTGTATAAGACTGCGATAGAGTCTTTCAATCAAAAAAGATATGAATCACAACCTTCAAATGAATAATAAAGTTGAAATCATTATAAATAAAGATTTATTTAGAATAATGAAAATTCCTTTTTGGTGTAAAATCTTTACACTTAGACATCAGGGAAATCTTGCACTAAAGATATCTTCTTCTGATAGGAATCCGTTCCCTGAAAAAAAAGAAAAAAAATCTACTTAACTACAAATTAAAGAAAAGAAATAAGTGTAATAAGTGTACCTTAAGCTGATTTAAATGGAATGATTTTGAGAAAAATTGCAATGAGTTGTGATAAAACAGTTATTTTGATGCTGGCATTAAAATAAACCCAAGTACATGTCTATCAGCGATAGATGAGCTGTTGTAAGTAAGTCATATCAAAATGCCAGATAATTTTCAACACTTAAAATAAGGTATTTCTAAGCCTACTTGGCTTCAGCAAGCAATTTGTATCTTCAATAAGATTTATCTTGATTTTTCTTCTTGGAATGAATGAACTTCTTTATAATACTTTAAAAACGAATGCTAGTATGTAGGCCAGTTAAAATTGACGTATATGTGTGAAACGAGCTAGCGGTGGTTGTCAACATCAATCCCTCATTAAGTGTTGGAAATACATTTGTTAACAGAAAGAGTATATATAAAACTGCATGTATTAGGTCGTAAAATCAAAAAATTAGAGATACCATCTCTTTGTGAAAATGTGAACATCTTTTGTAGTATGAGCTGATACTTCAGAAATATAGATCCTGTTAAAACCTTTTTAAATTAAAGAATTGTTTTTGTTGCTTAGCGTCCTTCTCGAGAATTGTTCACTCATACAGAGAAGCCAACACTTGCAGGTTGAGAGCTGCAAATTTTGACTTCTGGTCGGCACTCATAGTCATTGAGCAGAGCCGGTGTAAAGACGAATAATGACCCCCATCGAATAATGACCGGGGGGTCATTTTTCAACGACAAAAAATGACCCCCACCCGTAGAAAAAAAATCATTTTTTGTAGAAAAAGAGTCCTAGGGGGTCATTATTTTATATGTTAGTCCTATAAAATAATGACCCCCATTGAAAAATGACCCCCTTTAAAGTGATACAAAATATACACTCTTTGATATCTTTTTTACAGCGAAACTAATTTTTACATTTTCTGTAACCAGAAAAATACAAAAAGTCGTATGAAATAATTAAGAGATTCACGTAGTCTTTCAATGCTAAAATTGTGTTTGAAAAGAGATTCTTTTATTGTCAAGTAAATAAAATTTCTTTTTAATATTCCTCCTTATAATGTTTGCTTAAAGAATGATATTCCACTTGTTTTCAGAAATCAAACCATGCAAAAATCAGGTTTAAGTACTCTTTAATAGGAAAAATTAAATTTTCTGTCATTTCAGCTTTTAGTTTGTTTAAGTTTGGCAAATCTTATTTGACAATGAAAGAGGAGGAAATTTTTATCCCCCCCCAAAAAAAGAACATTACGTTAAATCAAAACAAAAAAAAAACATAAATGAAAAGCAAAGATATAAATAAAACTCTATACCTTTCAATAATTCTGAAAGAGGCTCTAGATAAAATATTGAAAGGAAGTTAAGCCTTGACATAAGTTCTATCATATCATAATTTACTTCGCCATGATTAAAGCATACTTTAAATGTTGGTGGAGGTATACTTGAAATTATTGTGGCAAAGTAACAGTTAAAAATTAGTAGAATAGTAGATTATTTTAAGCTTATTTTTAATTCCTTCTTATAGAAAAATAAAGGTAGGGTGTTTTTTTTGTTTTTTTTTGTTGTTGTTGTTGTTGCTTTTGTTCAATATTGACTTCCTCCTAAATAAGAAAGGGGGTTGGGGTAAGTATTAGACCTAAAAATATGCTCTGTAAAGCTATGGGCTAGTGTAAAATACACAGTCATTCTAATGCAAAAACTATACATGTAGACATAAATTTTGATTTAGCACACAGTATTCATTACATTTCTTTTAACGTAGAACCTACTTCGTATTACATCATAACTGGTAAATGTGTTTAACCTGTGCTAACCCATTAAGACATCATAATTAATTCAATGCCACTTTTTCCCGTACTTTACAGCTTCAATAGAAATGGTAGAAAATACTGCATTTTGAAATTCACAGAATTCAATCATGCCAACATAATCTTAATTCAATTCATATATCTTTAGGTTTATAATGCTTAATGGCAATATATTTCTGGAATAAGAGAAAATATGTAGGCACCTTTCATTTACTAGATCTAGACCTGAAGTTGACAAACCCTAGACTATCTAGTGTAATGAAATTACAATGTACATACAACTTTCGTAATACTAGTAATTTGAATGGTATGTAACCATTTTGAAGGAATGCATAAATCGTAAAAATCTTCAGTTGCCAGCTATATAGTGTAATATCTTGATGAAATGTGTCTAAGTCAAAGATGTACGTGTTGTAGATCGGTTGATCGTGTGTACATTTTTTTTTTATATCTATAATGAAATTATGTGCATTCCTTTTAACAATTATTTGTTTCCTATTCATTTCTTGGTGTTTGATTACAATTTTTCTATTAAATATGATCTTTTAAAAATAAAAGTACAATTTCTGATAAATATTTAATCTGAAAGTAACCCCAAACAGTCATTTAATTATTAAATCCCGTGTAAGTGCAAAAAGGTCAAGAATATGAGTATCGGTAAATAGCCTATCTTTCATTAGTTAGAGGGGAAAGGTATATATTTTAATCACTTTTTGTAATCATTTGGGTGTGTTCTTCATCATATTGAAGATTGAAAACATTGTGACAAAGACTTCTAAAAAATATTTACAAATGTAGGGTGCATAATTAACTTAAAATAATAGAGTTCTTTGACTAATTTTTTTAATGGTGGACTAATCTTTTATGTTAATTGAATAAAAAAGAAATTATTCTTCATAAAATATTGTTTATTCAGTTAATAAAGTTTATAAATGACGATGTTTGAAGAAGTATTTTTGTGATTTTACATATTCCCTTTATGACAAGTACCCCTAAAAATAATTGAAAATGTGAAGTCGCAGTATGTAAGTACCATACCAAGTTTCACAGCATGTGCTAGATTAAAAAACAAGGAAACATATCATGATATTTAAATGATTAATAAGCAAGTACTAATTTATCATTTTGAAAAGGTTTGAAAATCTTGTGACAAAGACTTTTCCGACATAGGTTCTACCTTAATTCTTGTTTTACTCCACCCTTTTACTCAGTTCTGAGTATATTTTTCAGAGAATTTAATATGAAAATCAGAACAAACATTTTCATTGTTGTAACGTTTTCTTTATAATGTATCATAATATGAAAAGTTAATTGAAGACCATTTCTTTTTATGTCCCCGTAGTCGAAGATTTGGGGGTATATAGTTTTATTCTGTTCGTCTGTATGTCCGTCTGTCTATCTGGCGGTTTTTTTGCCCGCAAAAACCTTAACCTTGACCATAACTTTTCATTTATTGGAGCTATGACTTTAATATTTAATATGTGTATTCCTTGTAACAAGACCTTACTTTGGGTACCACCAAATTTGACCTTTTGACCTTTACCTTGGCGTTTTTTTTTTCCATTTTACACAAAAATGCCAAATTTTTACTTTGGCCATAACTTTTAAACGGTAGATACTAGTACTCTCATACTTCAAATATGTAGTTTCTTTTGGCATTACCTTTCATTGGATACTAAAAACTTTGAGCTTTTGACCTTGACCTTGGAGATTTCCGTACTTATGATTTTTTTTTACCTTGGCCATAACTTTTGAACGGTAAGGGCTATGGTATTCATACTTCACATATGTAATCCTTGTTACATTTAACATTTTCTTAAGAAATCATCAACTTTGACCTTTGAGTTTGACCTACCTTTCAAAAACGTATCCTTAGCCATTACTTTTGAACAAGTGGTGGTAGGGCTTTCCTATTTTGCAGTTGTATTTCTTGTGAGAAGACCCTACTTTGGGTAACAATATATTTAAATTGCATTTAAGAAAAGTTTAATCTTCGCTATGTTGCCATACAGGGGCATAGCTGTTTCACAAACACATCTTTTATATATGAGGATTTGCGGATAAGAAATGGATACCTCAAAGAGTAACAGACGGACGGACGTACATCCCGATCACTATATACCCTCCCGCTTTTCAAGCGGAGGATATAATGATATATAATACTGCTGATTTTTTCTGTCAGTTCGATGATTTCCACCATCAAAAAACAATGTTTACCTAACCCTTAAGGCTTGATTAATCTTTTACTCCTTTAGATTCTGAATTATTGCATTGACCTCAAAATATAGCTATAATTGTATAATGTTATGATATCAACATATCATCAGTTTATTCCCAATAAGCTCAGGTGAGCATTTTGGCCAATATGCTTCTTTATCTAATTTTTTTACCCCTTAAAAATTTAGCTGAAATCTAAAGGGGGTCATTTTTCTACGGGGGTCATTTTTCTTCACGTGGGTTCTGCAAATTTTTAGGGTGGTGACACTTTTTCTACGGGCGAAAGGGTCATTTTTCTACGTCGAATAATGACCGGGGGTCATTTTTCGCTGTCGAAAAATGACCCCCGGTCATTATTCGATGGGGGTCATTATTCGTCTTTCCACCGGATCTTTTTCGTGCCAGCACCTACTGCGACACGAGACCTCCGTTTACAGTATACGGTTAATTATAAAATGATGACGGTACATCTTATGAGGGAAACGTATTTGCCAATTTACATATCCTATATCCATTTCTTTAATTTGCAGGAGATATATTTGGAATATGTAACTTGTGGCTCTGGATTTCGTATGTAACTTGCACATAAACAAAAGGCGTTTAATCTACCAGCCATATGCAGTTGCGAGTCTCTCGTTTTTATGAATTTTGTTTGCAATTGGCAGTTATTACCATCCTTATCTGCAAGTTGAAGATTTATTCTTGGAGCAAATGGGCGGACTTTAGCCTTGAATTCTTTGAAGTCCACCCTCCCGTCGTCGCCATTTTTGCCCAGTTTGTCTTAAAGTCAAACGGCAAGCGAGGAGAATCGACGTCCTTCAGATATTTCATAAACGTTTTACAAATAAATGAATAAAGAATTAAAAAGACCCAAGAGGATATAAACTGGCTTAAAATATGTGGTATTTTGTACGGGAACAGTTTTCAAGGGTATAACAATAAATAATATGGACTCTTACTCTCTTCCTTCCACAAATTTTTGTGCAGACTGGAGCACACACTGGAGCGCAGTTCGGACAGGCCTTCGTACACGATGTGGAACAGACCACGTTACAGAGTATTCGACGTACTCTTATTCGTACTCCACCCCAGCCCCCGGAAGCCTCGTCCAGAAGGCACCACGTGACCAATGTCAAAATCAGAACAAGGGGCAACTTCATTGGGAATCTAAAAGAAAAATGAATTCTTTTCATTTGTAGTTATTTTCTTGAAAATATCAAACCACATTAGTGAAAGCTTTTATTAAGCAACTAATAAATGAACCAACGCACTCAGGTAATATACAATAATTTATTTTATAAATGTGTTTACAGTGTAAGATTATTCTTTCTATGAAACAAAAAAAAGTTATCACTGATATGTAATTATAAAACAAAACAAAAATGTTGATACGTAAACGATTCCAACATAGGCTAAAGGGGGTGTGACCTACCGTTCTTTAGTTGATGCTACAGAGACATTGAGACTAAACAAACGTTGGTCTTTTATAAGAACTAGAAATGATGAAAACTCCACGTCTGCTATAAATGAGTCATGACTGCATGTACCAATATATCAGGCTTTTCAATTTTCATTATTTATCAGAATTTGAGCTTTTGATTAATTTTTAGAGCATGTTTCCTGGTTGTAGATATTAAGGAGGATGCTGATTTAAAACAGCTGGTTTGAATTAGATATTAAGGTACTATTTATTACATTTTAAACCGTGAAATACTGTAATTTATTCGCTGAATTAATGAAAATGATATACTAGTATATTTTGTCATAGTGTGAAAGAATATCAGAAGTGCTGTAAAACTCGCGATTTTCTTTCTCATAACGGAGAGTGTTGTGAAAAATCTTCCTTAATTGGCCTGATATAAGATGTATAAAAGTAAATAAACCATATAGACAGAGAATAAAACTGGAAAAAGGTAACTGTTTATACCAAACATACTGCAAAATATCCATGGTTTATACAATGTTTTGACTTCACGAAGTTATGACGTCTTAACCGCTTATATAACATTTTTGAATAAGTTTTCCTATTATATCACAAATGTAATAAGTTTCGCTATAAACCCTGAAAAATGCCGAGTCACACCGGAAACAGTTATGTCCGGCCGGAAACAGTTATGTCAACCCTTGCCGGAAACAGTTATGTCACTATTTCGATCACGTTCACGTGTTTTTACGTTACGCATTTTAGCTCGGGTTCGAGATGTTATGACGTCAGTTGCTAAGCAAATGTAAACAACGGAGCGTTATTCTTAACGCCAAGAAGGCATTTTTGGATTATTTGTGTACATTTTAACAATTTTGAATGATTTTAAATTTTCCTTTAATTTTAAAAATGTCATATAACATATACCACATGGCTTCTCGGGTGACTATACCAGAATATTTGCCCCTCGGTGACAGGAAAGCCCTGGAGTGTTATGTCACCCTCTGCCTTCGGCATCGGGTGACATGACACTCCAGGGCTTCCCAGTCACCTCGGGGCAAATATTCTGGTATGTCACCCTCGAAGCCATGTGATATATGTATAATGTATGCTATGACTGCATATTTGAAAAAAGACATGCAATGGAAACATCAAAGAGAATGTAATTAACAGAAATTCAATGATTTGTACTCTGCACTCGTGAAAATATTTTTTAAAAATCCTGTTTCAAGACTGAAATAAATTCCATACCAGGTATTCAACTACAAAACACTGAATATCCTCTGTATATTCATCTATATTTTTGTCCCCCTCTTTTGCAAAATCAAGGGGACATTAGTCTGTCCCTCTGTCCGTCAATCCGTCTACCATAAAAACTTTAACCTTTGTCATATCTTTTGAATGGTAAGAGATATACCTTGGCAATGCAATATTTTTTGCATTTAAACGGAATAATCTTTGTGTTTAAAAGCAACCATTTCTATTGATCTTTGAAGAGTGCTATGGACCCACCCAAACTGATATTGTCTCTTTCTTTCTTGTAAAGTTACGTATTAAGATCGGTTGATTGATTGTATATTGTTTAACGTCCCTCTCGTGTTTACGAGAGTGCATTTATTGGGTATTTTTCATGCCAAGATTGTACTTATTGGGTACTTTTTGCTTATTGGGTATACCCAATAAGAAGTGTCGCTGAATATGCTTAAAACACCCTAATTGGGTATTTGCAGGTTAGTACCCAACAAAACTTGGACACGACGATTTGTCCAAAAAAGTGTCCAAAAAAGTTGCTTTCACGGACGCATCGTGTTTTGTTGTTTCAGTTTTACATTCGGAACTCTAAATTCTCGAGAGCTCCGAAAATCAACTTCCGTTGATCCTGATCATAACAACGTTTGTTTTCATGGAAAAAAAAATATGGCGACTAAGAAACACTTAATGTCAACAAGATTTTCTGATTGACAAGAGAAAAGGTAAGTTTATTCGATTAATATTTATCCATTGCTGGGTTCTTGTTTAAGGAAAATATATTTTAATGTAATTTTGAAAACAATTGTGCACAAAATTAAAATAGATATATCGGAACAATTAATCCTAAGTTGCACTTGTTTGTATTTTGAATTTTCTCTGTCTTTTTAACTCTCTTGAGGGCGAGAAGTATTTAGTAAATGGTCGTACATTGTTAGATAATCTTTAATAAATCGAAAGTATTTATTATTTAATTTTATATCATAACCAACTAAGTATGTTCTGACAATGTATATTGGAAAGGGAAATGAAAACTTTGACATTCGTGTGTTCATAAATCAGCTGTAAATTATTGGTTCATGTAAAAAGTATTACAATCGCAAAGTGAGCTGAGATGATGATAAATGGGATAATTGACAACAACTAAATAATTGTATGTAAGTTTATCTCATCTGATATGTAACTTAAGAGATTCATTGTATTACTGAAAAACTTTCAGTCAAAACAGTGCTTCTTTCTGTCTTTGATTTTGACTGAGTGTCTGCTTTCTTTTGATTTTTTTAAAAATTATTGTTTTTGTCATTTGTTTAAATTAATCTAAAACAATACTGAAATTGATATAGGGCTACTATAACTATTTCACATGAGGGTGTGTAATTAGCATCGCGCTACACCCGGGGCTTCCATTTTTGTGGATGGGGCTAGTGGTTTTCTGCACTGAGGAATCCCCTTGGGCTATTAGGAATTTTAAAATACACATGTAATACATGAAAAGCACCACCGGTATTTTCACTCATTTTTGCTATTAAATTCCCTAATATGGAAATATTCCAGACAGCATGCTCATATTATCCATAAATCTCCACAACTGCATCCATTTTGCAGTACTACAAGACTGATTTACTTAAAAACGATCTTTTATTTCCTAATTTGAATCCCCCCTTTCCTTTGTTTAATATAGCAATATTTGCTTGTACATATATGCCTCACAGCTATATATGGTAAGAGTCATTTTTGGCCCCCTTAAAATCAACATTTTAGAATGCAAATCATATATGCATAATTGAGTTTTATTTTGTAGAAGAGATTACATTGAAAATATTTTCAATACATTTTTGACATTTATATGCACTAACATGATAAATATGATGTCAATAATTATGCTATTTTTGCAATCCAACTGAAACAAGACAAAAATGGGCTTTTTCTTGACATTTTTTCTTATGGGAAACATAGAACGCAGCTTGGAACATGCAAAATTTTTCTGTCAGTAATAAGTCTTGTATAGATACATCTTTGGTAAAAATATTAAGTTTGTTCTAGTTTGTGCTCAATATTTTCTGGAAGTAAAACTGCTTGAAAATAAGCAGTTTTATACAAAATATGCTAAAATGGCGGGAAAACGTAAACTTTATAATGTCATATTTCTCAATTAATGGCATTTTGATCAAACTGAAAATTACCAATAAAGGTCACATGTATAGCCGTGCAAATTAAAACTATATATAAAGAAAAATTAAGATATTAATTTTAAGGGGCCTGTTGAGACACTTATCATATATTGCTCTTTCATTGTACATACGCCATATATGGCTTTAAATGATTCAAGATGAAAACAAAATGATTTTGCTTCGTTTTAATTAGACGAACTAGTGAATGACCAGAAAAGGAATATTCAAAATCTTTTTTTCATTTTTCTTAAATCATTAATTTATATATGATTAGCAAAAATTTAATTAAACTTTAATTTTAAAAAGAATCATCTGTAGTTAATACCCAGGGGCCCGTTTCATCAAAGGTCGTACGCCCAGTCGTAGCACTACGCCGGCGTAAAGTCGGGACTAGCACGAATATTTGCATTTTATTAAAGAGCGTATCGTTACGCCTGACTAAATTTAGGCCAAAATTTTACGTCTACTCATGGGTAGGCGTAAGTTAGGGCGTAAAGTTAAAATAAGGCCTTTTTATTAATTTTAGCAAGTTCTAAAGAAAAAGTAAGGTTCTTAGAAGAATTTAAAATACAAACAATGCATTATTTAATTATACATAATTTGAAGAGGGGGAGGGGGTGGGTGTTGTTACAACTACTTGGGGACGTAGTTGATTTGAGTAATAACGTACTCAAATAATATTTTGATAAATTTCTGCTGAGAAGAAAAGATTGTCTTATTAGAGATTTCTTACGTTTTGACAATGCATTCATACACATTTGATTGTGGTATTGTATGTCTAAGGTATTGTAAATCAATTTGCATATATAACTGTATTTCTACACCCCGCTTGAAAAGCGGGACGGTACATGTATATGTACATGTATATACTATTTAGTAATCGGGATGTCCGTCCGTTCATCTGTTACATGTATGTATATACTATTTAGTAATCGGGATGTCCGTCCGTCCATCTGTTACGCCATGGGGGTACCCATCTCTATCCGCAACTCCTTTCATATCACTGATTGAAATTTGGTGAAATTTTCACAGAATCTTTATTATATATTTCCATTGTGTCTTATTGTACTTTTTGATTCGACACATATTTTGGGTTTCCCACAGCAAAACATGGACACTGCCATTATATTTATATGGAAGGCGGGGGGATATCTTTTATTGAACTCATTGCTTACAGTACCTCTAGTTTCTTTTTCATTTACTAAAAAGAGACCCATTAAAATTGTCTATTTTGAAAAATATTTTCCAACAGCATATTTTCTGAAAAACAAAAAAAAAAAAAAAAAAAAAAACAAAAAAACAAAAAAAAAAAATCGGTTTCAAAAGAATAGTTATCATCTTTCATGTAATTTTCTACATTTAAGAAAAAAATTCAAAAAAATAACCCATCTTAAAACCAAATAGTTTTTGTCATGTTTGAAGAGTCCATTTCTTATTTACTTCTCGTCCATATGCGTGGATCCAGAGGGGGTCGGAGAGAGGGTTCAGAATATCCCGAATTTGCAGATTAATTAACATTGAATGTACAGATTACTTAGTTAAGGACGAAAGTAATTATTTTCCTAGGTATCTGGGACAAGTGATGTTCCCGGCGAATCATAGACCCCAACCCAGGGAGGGGGTTGGGG